CCCCCCGTTTTTTGTTGAAGTGGATTTGTTTTTGGTGAAATATGTCAAAAAAACACTGAAATTAAACACTTTTTAAATAAATGGCATGTTGACTCCCTGTCTCATCAGATTGTTTTGATAAACTCTGTCTGGTTTCCATGATGCAGACCCATCTCTGCAATGCCATTGACTTTTTACAACTATTGGAGGAAGAATACCTGTTAGTCTATTAAATGGTAAACACAAAATAAAAATGAGAAAAAATCCTAAAAGCTGGAAAAGTTTGGTCTGTCTTTGTTTTTAAGAAATCATGTAAATGCATTGACCAATCAGAGAGGCTGACAGATACTCCAGATGGCTGCTGCTTGCTGGAGTCATGTTTCACAGCTCGTCTTCTGCATGTGTTTGAGTCTGAAACACTTACCATTCAGCTGAAGACACTCAAGAGCTTAACATATCGACATCGGCTGAGTGTGTTTGACTCCAGGAAGAAAACCAGATTGCTTTGGAGAAAGTTTGCAGATTTCCAGAAGCCCGTCCTGGTGGTTTCTTGTGGTATGTTGACATTTTGTGTCACAACTTGCACAACACCTGACCGGAACAACGCTAGCGCACCGGTGTAAGCTGAACTAAAGCGAGTGGGTTTGTAAAAATAGAAACTAAATAGAAATGCATGTGCGGGGTTATACTGCCATTCAAAAGTTTGGGGTTGATAAGTTCCTTATGCTCACCTATGCTGTGTTTATATGATTTAAAAAAATACAGAAACAGCAGTAATATTGTGAAATATTATATTTCACAATATTATTATTTAAAATGCCTGTTTCTGTTTGAATATCTTTTAAAAGGTCATTTATTCCTGCGATGCAAAGCTGAATTTTCAGCATCATTACTCCAGTCTACAGTGTCACATGATTCTGCAGAAATCCTTCATATTTTTGTGGAAAAGGATTCTTTGTGATGAATATAAAGTTTTAAACAACAGAATTGATGTGAAATGGAAATCTTTTGTAGCATTAGAAATGTCTTTACGGTCACTTTTGATACATTTAATGCATCCTTGCTGACTAAAAGTATTAATTTAAATAAAAAATGCCATTATTTCTTTTCAGCATTATTTAATATTACTAATATAATATTCTATTTATGATTTTGAATTCATTTTTTGTATGTGTGTATATATATATATATGTATATATATACTGTATATATATATATATATATGAAATATAAATATAACATTATTTATTATTTTGAATTAGTTTTTTAATAAATCCAGCATACTGCCATTTTAGTACGTTTTAGTAATTGTGTGCTGTTGTCATTTTTATTTTTAGTATTTACTATATTTTTAAAATCCGATTTAGCTTAATTTTTATTTTTATTCATTTTTGAGCAGTGTAAATCATTCTTACTGAAGGTAAATACTAATTTCTCACACACAAAAAATAAAATATAAAAAAATAAAATAAACAAATAAACTAGTAAACTAAATAAACTCAAATAAAATCTTACCGACCCCAAACTTTTGTGTAAATCGTTGCATGACTATCCTGAGTGTGTTGACTGTAGGTGTGAATGCTGTGTGTAATGAAGGCACTCTGAGCGCGTGTGATTATATTGAGGTATTGAAGGAGCTCAATCGCTGCCTGAAAGTTTAACTACCGCAAACACTCAGTGGAAATCAAAATTCAAGATGGAGAAGGCAAAAATTGCAAGAATGTTGGACTCTGATAAACGATCCGGTGTGAGAAAGTGTGAAAGGGAGAGAGCGGGACAGCTGAAGGGAAGCTTCAAACGAGCCAAAATGTCACTGCTATTAATACACCTCAGCTACTGCTCTCCAATCAACACACGCCATCTCAGTGTGTGTGTACATCAGGAAGTGTGAGCAAAATGATGGCTTCAGGTTTCTCCCACCTCAAAAGCTTGGTATCTGCCCCAGTTCTCTTACTGAGCTGCATTTCTGTTGATGTTTTCAGCTGAGGAATGGCCATACCGACCATGACTGACTCCAGCAGGCTTACTGAGGTGTCCACGCTGCCTTATCTGGATGCACGGACCTCAACGTCAGACACAGAGTGTGGAGAGGAGTCTGATCTCCAGCCAAGAGTTCTGGAGGAACCTCAGGCAGTGGGTGCAGAAGACACTGGAACACCAGACATCATCGTGTCGAGGGGTGAGAGAGGACAGCCGCTTTAGAGGTTAATGAGTTCAAGAGAGGATGAGCTGCAGTCTTAGAAATGAAGGCTCTCCAGTGGTTCTTGCAGGAACTTTCTACCAAGAATCATTTAGTTGGCTATGGGCTTTTATGGAAATTTAAAAAAAGTTCTTGATGTTACATTATAGGTTCATCAGATCAGCATGTCGTAACAAGGTTATTTTGTGGGATTGGGATTGAAATCTTTTTTGAACTTTTTATGATGTTCTGTTCTTTAAAAATGTCTGTGCTGTTTTAGTATATTTACTTCTAGTATTTACTAATGTTTTAATTATAATTTTTAGATGCTCAGTTTTCATTTTAATTTCAGTTTAAATGTGAGTAATTTTGTTATGTACTTTTATCATTTATATTAGATGTTTTTTAATATTTATATATATATATTTTTGTTTTTGTAATATTGTTTTGAGTAATTTTAGTTCTTCAAAAACTTAAAATTATTTATAGACAAAAAGTAACTTAATCCTATTTTATAATACATTAATTTTTTTAGTCATTTTGTTACATGCCTTTATCATTTTGCACAATTTTTTTTATTTTACTGTTTAACTTTTAGGTGTAATTTTAGTACTTTAAAAATATATTTATACACTTAAAAACAACAGCTTAAACTTATAAGTTTGTTTTAAAATTATCATTTTTATATTTTCAGTTTATTTAAATTTTAGTTTGTTTGAATCATTTTGTTATGTGATTTTGCCCTTTTCGTTATTATTATTTTTATTTTAGAAATTTTCAAGAACTTAATAAATTTAAGTTTATAAACTTATAAATTTAAAAACAACAACTTATTATATTTCAATTAGTTGCCAAGACAGCATTTCTCATTTTTATTTCAATTTTGTTTCACTTTTTATTTTATTTTAGCTTTTTTTCAATTAATGAATTTTTTTTTTAATAGTTTTATTTTAAATTTTTTTATGAGTGAATGTGCGTTGTTTACAGGATGATATAGATAGAGAAGACATTGCAGCTTGTAGAATTTGTTTATGTGTTAATATTTATTTATATGTTTTAAGTAGTGCTGTCAAACGAATAATCGCGATTAATCGCATCCAAAATACGGTTTTTTTACATAATGTATGTATGTGTACTGTGTATATTTATTATGTATATATAAATACACACACATGCATGAAGTGATGTTTTGCATGTATTTTGAGATGAGGAATATCAAACGTCTGGCTTTACAAGTAAAGAAGACAACAACATCCAGTCGAGCATCAGCAGCAGGTTTGCACAATGTGATTATTTCCATTTACTTATTTAAATGACAGGTTTATGAATTCATTGATCCATTTAACTGCTTTGTTTACCATGGCAATTCATAGGTCAGATGCAGAAAGAGAGAAGAAATCTACTGCTTGCTGCTTCAGAAAACGTCACAGGAAACACCGAACAGAGATTACAGACACGAGGAAAACAAGAGAGACGTGTAGAAAAGACAGCGCAAGAATGAGAAGAAATTCTCCAGTCTTTTCAGACCCGAAGACCTGCGGCTCCTCAAGATGCTCCAAAGATCAAGACGTGTTCTCATCCCGACCTCAGCAGGTTACTCCAGATCTCCGTCTGTGGAAATATCCTCAAGATGCTGGTGTTTCCCGTCTCTGCCTTCACAAGCTGGAGGTCGACGTTCCTTCGACCTTTGAGTCTCGCAGTTTGGAACCAAACCTCCACTCTGAGTTTGCATATATTTACGCTGAAAGCATCAAAGGATGCGACTCTTCCTGTTGCACTACTCCAGGAGACTGTAATACCCACAATCCCTTTGTCAAAACTGAACGAGAGCCTGAATCTGTCTGGAACAGCTTTGAGGAAGAATCTGAAGACTCCGATTGGGATTTATACATGTCTGCGCACAGTACAGCGGCTACTGCAGGTTCCAGATTGAACGCTGAGCGCTTTGGGTCTTTAGATGACTTTGACTTGACTTGTATTTATACAGACTGGGAAAGGAGAGCCGACAGTGCAGAAACCGAGCAGGGTTACAGTCCCGCCGAAGCGGAGTGGGGCTCCGAGAGTTCATGTTCCACCGCTGACAGACAAACCAGCAGCTCGGATTCAGACGGCTGCCGTTTAGAGGCTCTCGGTGACATCAAATGTCCAGACGGATGGCCTGAAGTGTTTCTGCCAGGATTTGAGGGCTGCTTTGACTGCTGGGATGTAGTTGAAGACATCTGCAGAGGCACAGAGAGCGATTCTGAGGATACAGGTGAACTGTGGGGTGTCGTGACTCAAATGGACCGCCGGCATTTCTCTGAATTTTTCTGTGAAATGGTTAAAGAAGTGACGCAGGAGAAAGACGCAGAGAAAATGAATGTAAATGAGGGGTTTCTGTTCCACCCTAAGCAGGTATGTGACTAAAGACATTAATGCAGATTGACAATTGACAAGATATAAATATACATATTTATATATGAACATAAAGTGGGCAAAATAATAAGGTATTGCCTGATTTTGGATATTTAATTGTTCATGCTCATTTACCATATTTTTACATTTAGATAACCTTTATATGATACTCACTTAATCTTTATTTTATAGTTTTATTTAATTTATAAATGTACTTGATTGATACATTTTAGCAATTAAGCTGATCGATTTGAGTTTTTAATGTTTTATTTTTAAATTAGACAACCCATACAGCAAAACATACAGTATATTTTTAGATATTTTTTAAATATCTTTCAAACTATGCAAAACATATAGTGCTAATATACTGCTAATATATATTTTAAAACATATTTGCATACATATATACATATATATAAGATAAGTTTTATTTATGTTTCATCATATATTTTGTTATATAATTAAATGTACATTTTTAATATAATAATATATTTTTAACTTCATATGATATAATATCATATGATATATGATATCATATGATATTTGATATAACTGCAGTAAAAGATTATGAGATGCATTATTTGAATGCTTGGCCAAAGAGATGTGTCTTTAATCTAGATTTAAACAGAGAGAGTGTGTCTGAACCCCGAACGGTATCAGGAAGGCTATTCCAGAGTTTGGGAGCCAAATGCGAAAAAGCTCTACCTCCTTTAGTGGACTTTGCTATCCTAGGTACTACCAAAAGTCCAGAATTTTGTGACCTTAGGGAGCGTGATGGATTGTAGCGTGGTAGAAGACTAGTTAGGTATGCAGGAGCTAACCCATTAAGGGCCTTATAGGCAAGTAATAATATTTTGTAATTAGTAATAAAAACTGATACGGAACTTAATAGGTAGCCAGTGCAGAGACTGTAAAATTGGGTAATATGATCATATTTTCTTGACCTGGTAAGGACTCTAGCCGCTTCATTTTGGACTACCTGTAGCTTGTTTATTGAAGATGCAGGACAACCAGCTAGCAGTGCATTACAATAGTCCAGTCTAGAGGTCATGAATGCACAGGTATCATGTTTCGTAACTTGGCAATGTTTCTAAGATGCAAGAATGCTGTTTTTGTAACATGGGTAATATGATTTTCAAAAGACAAGTTGCTATCTAATATAACACCCAGATTTTTGACTGTAGAGGAAGTAACCGTACATCCGTCTAGTTGCAAATTGTAATCCACGAGATTCGGTGTACTGTCTTTTGGTCCAATAAGTAATATCTCTGTCTTATCCGAATTTAATAGGAGAAAATTATTGGTCATCCAATCTTTTACATTTTTAACACACTCTGTTAGCTTAGATAATTTAGAAGTTTCATCTGGTCTTGTTGAGATATATAGTTGAGTATCATCGGCATAACAGTGGAAACTAATCCCGTATTTTCTAATAATATTACCAAGGGGCAACATGTATATCGAAAATAGCAGAGGACCTAGGACAGATCCTTGTGGCACTCCATATTTTACTGGTGATAATTGAGATGACTCCCCCATTTAAATGAAAGTACCCCTTACAGAAAGTTTCCTGTAAGGGGTAGGTTTAGGTGTAGGGCGATAGAAAATAGAGTTTGTACAGTATAAAAACATGCGTGTGTGTGAATGCCAATTTCCCATTGTAGTATATTTTATCATATATTTTAGCATTTAAAGGTGTTTTCAATTTGAAAAAGCTGCACTGTTTACACATATATTAAACATATATTTAAAAAATATTTTGGTCATATATTTAAATATATTTTAAAATGTAATATATATTTTCAAAGAATTGTAATATCATAATTTTATTGAATGTTTAATTTATTAATTATTATATCCATATTTTATTATTGGTGGATTCCTCACTCTGTGATCCAGTTTTAACAAAATTTAAAAAAAGGTTCTGATTTTATTTATTTATTTACTTTTGGCAAATCTTAGGCAACTAGACTATTCTATTTTATGTATATATTTCCAATAAACTCATAATTTACTGCAGTTTTCATGGTGAACATCATTTCTTAGTTCCTCCAGGTGAAAAACTCAGAATATCGAGAGGGTCGTGAATATTCATTTCTCCGTCACATTCAAAACGGCTCATATGGAGACGTCTTCAGCATTCGGGACAAACAAACAGGATTTACGTGTGCCGCCAAAAAAGTGAATATCCGTTTCTTATCCAATTAATTAATAAGCCTAAATATCTCTGCATGCATCTCTGCATATTCTTGCATGCAAAGTTGTTGAAAGAAAACCTGTGACTCTCTGATTATGTCCTAACTGATCCAATGCATTGCTCTCTTGTGAAGATTCCCCTTTGTAGTTTTAGGTGGGAGGAAGTGGAAACGTGGAGCAGGATGGAGTCTCCTCGTGTCCTCCAGCTGTATGGGGCCGTGAGAGAGGGGCCCAATGTGATTCTCTTCATGGACCTGAAAAGAGGTGATTGCTTCTACCAATGGAGCCTCTGAAAGCAAATCAAGTCATATCTGAGTCAATCAATTCTCTCTTTCCAGGTTCTTTAGCTCAGTTGCTGAGAGTGAAGGGTGGTCTGTCTGAAGAGCTGGCTCTGTATTATCATTCTCAGGTCCTGCAGGCTCTCCAGCACCTGCACAGCAGACGCGTCGTACACCTGGATGTCAAAGGTCAGCGGCTCAGCCATTGTCATGGATTTTCATCACAAAAAATTGTGCCACGATATAATTTGTGTGTTGATATCTGTAAAAATGTTTGACTTGAACAATATATACATGCGTAATATGTGTGTTTTCAGGAATTTTGGTGCTCTTTGCCATGAAATGCTCACTTCAAATTGATAAATTTACTTGTAGCATTTAAACTGATTTTCGTTTTTAATGTTTTATTTTTCATTTTGACAACCCATATGGAAAAAATACTTTTTAAAACATATTTTAAACTACAAAAATACAAATACAAAATATTATAATATTATTACAATATATTTAAATATATATTTCTAATATAATATAAAATAAGCATATTTTAAAAAATGTGTAATATATACATTTATATTTATAAATATATAAATAAAATAAATTTCGATAGACATTTTTGGTACATTTAGTTATATTTTATAATATATTTTTGAGCAGTGTTTATTATCTTTATTATGTTTTATGTATATCAAAAATGTATTATGTTTTATTTTGTTTTATGTATATGAAAATTTTTATATTGTCTTAAGTATTTATAAAACATTTTTTTGCATTTACTCAAAATATATTTCAAGATTAGAAATGTATTTTCTTGCCCATTGTAGTACATTTTGTTATATAATTTAGCATTGCAAATAAAAAAAAATAGTAAATGAAAATATTTTATATTTGAAAATGCTGTTTGCAACATACAGTATATTTAACATATGTTTGAAATAAAGTTTGACCAGAAATACAAATTTAAAAAAAGAAAAAACATAATTTTAAAATTGTAATATACATTTTTAAAGCATTCTAATATCGGCCATTTATTTATTAGCAATTATTTATTGACTGTTGATCGTATCCATAAGATTATTATAAATGCATCCCTCACTCTGTGACCCAGTTTTAACAAAAATTTCAAACCAACAGTTCTGATCAAACCCAATTTCACACCTTTAAACATGAGATTAAGATTAAAATTCAATCAGAAACAAAAATTCAATGTCCAAACTGCCACAGTATATGCATGCCGCATGCATAATGTGTGTGTTTTCAAGAAAAGCCATTATTATGAATTTCATCACAGAAAGAAACACTGATTGGTGCACTGATATCATTCATCATATGTTGGTTTCATGTGTGTAGTTGACAACGTGTTGCTGTCTGAGGATGGCAGACAGTGTTTCCTCTGTGATTTTGGACTCTCTGAGACTCTCAATCAGGGTGGATACAGCACCAAAACCTTCAGAGGTGACTATACACACACACACACCAGCATGCATGTCTACTATGAAGTGGTATTTATGGTGTGTGCAGGGAACATTCTGCGTGGCACTGAGTCTCATATGCCGCCGGAGGTGGCGAGGGGGGATCCTCGCTCTGCTAAAGCTGACGTCTGGAGCAGCTGCTGTATGTTACTGCACATGCTCAACGGACACCAGCCCTGGACACGATACTACCCTCATCCTCTCTATCTGAAGGTGAAGTTAACATGCAGTCTGTGTGTGTCACTTTAGATACACTATCAGTCAGATGTTTACATTTACATTTAGTTATTTAGCAGACGCTTTTATCCAAAGCAACTTACAAATGAGGACAATGGAAGCAATCAAAATCAACAAAAGAGCAATAATATGCATTTTTTAAAATTATATAATAAATAAAAAGAAAACAAGAAGATAGAAAAGAAAGAGAATAGAGAAATGTAGTGTTAGAGGCCTTTTTTAAAGAAAACAAGCAGTTAGAAAACAAGTCTTAAAGGGTCAAGTTTTTATTTATGTGCGCTCCTCATTTGGGAGTCACACTCACGGTCTTCGTGGTCAAAAGTGACCGGACACCTGAAATTGAACTTTTTCTTCAGTAAAATCAATCTAATATATTTTTGTTCAATAATATTTTTTCTTTTGTATTTTGAGAGAATTGTATGGTACTAATGAATATTTATGCAATAATTATGATACATTTTTCCCATTGAAAATAGTACAAAAAAATTTTTTTCTAATTTTTTCTAATTATTTTTCAATTAATGCAGTATTTCAGATTAAAATAGAGACTTGGCCTTTAAAATCCAATTTTTGAAGGCAGAATAGCACCTCCTGGTGAGAGCAAAAAAAGAAAGAAAAACCTGTAATTTCATGGTGTAACCACTAGATTCCTGAATAGGACTCTATAGAGAGGCTTGCGAATTCCCTAGTTGTTTTTATACATAATTGTTTACTTTTATTAGGTTATGGATTTAAATTTATATTAAGGCATTCCCAAAGACTACTTTTTGTCAAGGTTTAAATTTTGTTGTTGTTTTAATTGTTGATTTGAAGTGTAGGTTTTTGCATTATTATTACTACATTCAAACCTGAACACAGAAAGCATTTTGTTACACAAAACATTAAAATCCTATAAAAATGTAACAAAAATTAACAAGAATGCTTTATCAGAGCTTAATCCTTTTGGGTCTGATCTGATTTTAACCTCTTATTTCAGTCTTCTGACTCATTTTGGCTACATGGTTATAGCCATACCAATTCATTTGAGTATGTATAATTCTGTATGTGTGTGTCTGTGAGTGTGTGTAAGTAAGTGTGTGTGTGAGTGGATGTATCTGTTTTACACTCTTGATGTTTTAGAGTGTAACCCCTTCCTTGCTGTCCACTTTTTTACTGCATTGTAGTTTCAATGCATTTGTAATTATTGATTTTATTTTACATAGTTGCAGTGTTACAGTAACACCAGTTCATAGGTGTGTGTGTGTGTGTACAAGTGTGTGTCTGCGCGTGTGTGAGTTGGTGTGTTGATTTTGCACTCTAGATGTTTTAGAGTTTCACCCCTTCATTGCTGTGCAATTTTTTT